CTGTATCATATCAGGGTGGGTGAACACACCTGGTAGAAAAAAATACAACCAAGCAGACAAGTCTCACCTCAAACTATCCAGTACTATATAGTCCACCATATATTCTTGGTTGTATTATGCAAGACCACAACCTTAGATGAGCCCTTACTACTACCCAGCAATCACACTATATTGTCCTAGTCTGTTCAATCTCCATTCTCCTAGAAATTATCTCACACCTTCTTCTGTTCTTAAAACGTCCAATACCTCTTTCCCATATCTTCACTATTGGCCAATGATCTTGACTCTACTTCATTGAGAATACAAAGCAATCAGAAGAAAACATTCACAGAACCCCTACCACCACCACATACTCTCACCTACCAGGAACTAGTATCCTGCCTGGTAATCATTACCAAATCCACTTGGGTACTATCCTCCCTCACTTACTTAAGGAGGGATCCCATCTTCCCTCGCTTACTTAAGGAATTTATTATGGTAATTGCCCACTTTCTTTTCAAAATGATTAATTTTTCCCTTTCTACTAGATTGTACCTTTAACATTTAGACATGATAATTTCCTCCTCTTTAAATAAATACTCCAACATTCGCAAATTTACTGACCTATTTTTTTACATGTATTTGCAGAAGTCCTCTAAAAATTTGTCTATGCTCAATTCTCTTTCCTTTCTTCCTTAGATTCATCCTAATCAAGGATTTACACCCACAATTCCATTGAAACTGTTCATCAATGACCTCTGTGTTGCTAACTCCCCTGGTCAACTACCACTTCTCACCTTACTGCACCCATCAACAACATTTAATGTAATTGATTACTCTCTCTGCTACTCACTCACTCAACTTCCACCACACCATAGTCTTGTGATCTTCTCCCTGTTCCTTCTCAGTCTCTTCTACTGATTTCTCCTCTTCTCCTAAACCTCTTAATTTGAAGTATCTCAGAGTTCAAACTTTGTTCCTCTTTTCTTCTCTATCCTCTCTCACTTAGTGGCCTCATATAGTCAAATGGTTTTAAATACCATCTGATGCCTACAACTCTCAAATCTGTGTCTTCAGTCTAAATCATCTTCCTGAACTCCAGGCCCAAATACCCAAATTTCTGCTGCCTTGTCTTTTCAGAAAGACAACTAAAGTGTTTTTTTTTTTGTTTTTTTACTGATCTTCTTCATGAAAACCGTTCTATGTGTAGGTCTTTCCATCTCACTCAAAACCTATAATATCCCACCAGTTCTCTGGCTAAAAAATTAAAGTCATCCTTGACTTCTATTTCTCATATCTCACATCCACAAGAAATCTCAAGAGCTCAAAGTTCAAAATATATCCAGGAGCTAAACACTTCTGGCCAACAGTGCTACCTTACTATCCTTGCTCAAATTGCCATCTCCTATATCCTGGATTACTGTATTAGTCTCATTTTTCCATCCTTACTCCCCTTAAGTACATTCTCAACACAGTTGCCATAGTGATCTAAAGTAAGAGCATGTCATTCCTGTGTTATAAACCTTCAACCCGACAGCTCTCTATTTCAATCAGAGAGAAGCCATAATCCAAGGCCCCAAGATCTATTCCCAATTACTTTTCTAATCTCATTCCTCATATTTTCACCTTTCTCTTCACTCAGGCCTCCATGCTACACCTTGAACAGTCCAGACGTGTTTCTATCTTACAGTCTTTGCAATGCACACACTCTCTGGCTGTAATGCTCTATCCCCAGAAAACAAAGTAGCTTACTAGCTCCCTGTTTTAAGTCTTTGTTAAAATGTCCCCTTCTCAGTGATGCTTATCCTGACTTGCATACAATCATGTCCCAACCTCTGATACTCTAGACCCCCAATTCTCTACCCTGCTTTGTTTTTATTCTTTAGTACTTATTTCCCAACATGATATATAATTTGCTTATGTATTCACTGCCACTCACTGCAGAATATAACCTTTAAAAAAGGAGATTTTTATTAGTTTTATTCACTGGCACATCCCAAGCACCTAGAAATGTGATTGACATATAGTAGGTACTCAATAAATATTGCTTTAGTGAATAAATGAAATATATTTAGCTATAGACAATAGAGAATTACTGTGCAATACTTAAAATTTATTATTTTCTCTTGTATTTTGGCCAAAATTGGGTGACAAAAGACAATATGAGAAGGATGATCTCCTGCTCTAAAGTTTTTAGATTTTTGCAAATTAGTAGATAGACGTCTTATTCCATTTTGTGCTGGTATAACAGAAAAACCTGAGACTGGGTAATTTATAAAGAACAGAAATTTATTTCTTACAGTTCTGCAGGTAGGGAAGTCTAAGATCAAGGTGCCAGCAGGTCTGGAATCTGGTAAGGACTTAATCTCCAATTCTGAGATGGACCCTTGAATGCTATGTCCTCTGGAGGGGAGGAAAGCTTCGACTTCACATGGTGGGAGGGCAAAGAGGCACAAGGGGGCCAAACTTACTCTTTTATAAGGGCATTAATCATACCCATCAGGGTGGAGCCCTCATGGCCTAATCACCACTCAAAGGTCCCCGTCTTAATATTAAATGGCAATTATATTTCAACATGAGTTTTGGAGGGAACAAACATTAAAGTCACAACAATGGGCTTTAACTTTCATTGAATTATAAAGCCAAAAAAATAAATACATCTAAGTATCTTACTATACAACTCTAACCCTGATTATACATGTGAATCACTTGGAATTTATGTAAGAACACACACCCCATGGCCCATCTCAAGGATCCAGTTCCTTAAAGCACTCTTCCATAGAAACATCTACCACTTAAGAGTCAGTGTTTTAGTTAACACTGCCAGTAACTAAGGTCATGTAAAATAGTTCATTTTCTCTCCTACTCTTAAAAAAAATGCTGAGGCCAAGTTTTCACAATTTTCCACGATATCATAGCTTATATTCTTCCAAATATTCCATTATTCAACCAAATTTCTCCTACTAAAATTTTATACCATTTGTAAAGATGGAATTTATAAAGAAGAAATACCAATAGAACTGCTTATGTTAATTCAAGGCTTTCCTTGTGATACTATTCATAAAGCAATGCTTAAACAATCATTTGAGAAAAAATCGTTTAAAGCTTTAACATTTTTACTATTTTCAAGTAAACCAAAAGTAATAATTATTAATTGAAAAACCTGAATAATGCAAAGATTTCACTGATTTTTGGAAATATTAAGTTTTAAGAACTGTACATTACAACTATTTCTACTTGCTCTGAAAAAAATACTATAAAAATCTCATAAATTGGCATCAATTTAAGGGCTGTCCTGTCTGATATGCAAAATATTAATTTATTACTTTAAACTACATATAGTATAGTATTCTTTTGTAAAACGTCCTTGAAGCCTTATTAAAGGCATTGCTTCAATAAATAGATAAAACTTGTAATTAGTATTTCAACTGTTTAAAATAAATTGTATAAAATGAAATATGCAATATCATTCTTCAAAAATGCACAAGTTATTATCTCCATTTAATAAATGGGTACCAGAGAAAAGCCTGAAGGTGCCAGAAAGTAATTTGTTCTTTTAAACTGTATTATACATCCTCTCTGAAACATTATTTATTCAATTTATTTGTTGAACAAAGCTTTTCTTCAATGATTATGAAAGATTAAACTCCAAATGATTGCAAATTCTTAATAAAATAAGAATTAATGAACTATCATATTTTAAATTGAAAAGCAAGATTTTTAATCAGAGTTATCAAACAGGGATTGCTATCATCTAACAACTTGAATAACTATCTTTTATTCTACCATCATAATGCCAACATAACTTATCTGCATGTAAAATTACTAAAATAATTAGACAGCCAGTTTTAACCAATCTTCCACTAAGTCAAGCCTTTAACTAACCAATTACACATCTATATGAAGATAGGGAAATATAATAAACCACATTCAGAGAACAAAAGAGTTACTAGATAAGATATTCAAATGTCAAGCAAAAGGAAAAAAATTTCATAAGTTCCTCTAAAAGAATGTGTATGGCAGATAGTTATCAAGAATCATAAAGCAAGAAAGAGAATTTAACAGGGTCCTTGGTACATACGTATGCTAAGATCCTTATAGTTAGGACAGTAAATGAGAGCATGGAATCATAATTCACAAAGTAATGTGAACATTAGTATGGCTCAATTAATAAGAAAAATAGCAATAACCACAATAGTTTAAATACTTCATTGTCATTTCTACATTAATCACACTTTTAGATACAACCTTTCTTCCCCCACAGAGACATTTGAATCCATTTAACAATCAAATTGTAATATTTAGAAACACAGTACCTAAAAATTACTAAAATATCAGCATCATTAATTATAATCGCTCCATCTATGGACAATATCCAACTACTCACAGCAAAAGCCAAGGATATAGCTCAGACTTTTTCAATCTTGGCACTTTAGAAATTTGGGGCTGGATGATTTTTTGGAGGGAGTGTGAGGGGAGGGGCTACTCTGCTCACTGTAAGATGTTTACTGCATCACTGACCTCTACCCACTAGACACCAAGAGTACCCAGCAGTTGTGACAATCAAAAAATGTTTGGAGACATTGTCAAATGTCCCCTGGGCTGTAAAGTGGCCCCTCAGTGAAAACCACCAACATAGACAAATAGGTAGAGGAAAGAAAGAATCACAGTGAAAGAGAGAGTTAGTTTATACTAGGCATTTTTAAACAGTTGAAACTATCAAATAAAGCTGAATTTCAAGTTGGTAAATTTGAAATTTTATTGTAGTTTATTTTATTATAGTTTTATTGTAGTTTTAAGGATATTCATGGAAAAAAAAATTTTAAACTAAATAAATATTCTGTATTGTAAAAACAATAAACATACCACCAAATCTCAGGTAAGTATAAGAGTCTACTATTCTTACCAAGAAAATAGTTAATAAGTAGCTTTCTCCTTATGTCTTACTTCTATCTTAAGAATAACACCCTACCTTCCTGCTGTCTCCCAGGAATAAAAACAACTGCAGTCTTTCTTTTCAGTTTTGAAGGCAAGAGAAGAACTTTTTCCTCTGACTCTACAGGTGGTTCCTGAAAGTGCTCTCCAGGTGACCTGAGGTGACTGACAAGTCTATTTTGCATTTACAAACAAGTTTAATAGGACCTGCATGTTAACAAGAGCAATAATTTGTTATAGCAAACTGGAATTAATTTTTGTATTCACTTATTACCTAGACACTACACTTTCAAGTTTCTCATTGGATTACTCTTCAGCTTACCATAGATGTAACTGATCGGGCATCTTCTTCATAATTTACTACTGGAGGTGGCTCTTTCCCATCATTTTCTTGCACTTTTTGCTCTAGTAATTCCTTCTGTGCTGCAAACTTTGCCTCCGTGCATCTCAGTTGCTGGACTGACTGTTTCAATTCTTCAAGTGTCTGTTTTTGGCTTAGCAGAAGCACAATACTAAAAGAAAATAAATTAAATATAAATTATTTCAACTTCTTTAACAAGTAAAGACATTACAGGAAACCATATATATGCACATTATGCTTTTGTTTTCTCTTCAATTTCCTCTTTGTAAGAATCTTTCAGGGGAATGAAAAATATGAAACTAAACAGATTTTAAGTCATCACAATATTTATTAAATGTTAGAATTAACAAAATAGAAGGCAATATTTGGAAGTAAAAGCCAAATTCAAGATGCTTTCAAACTTATTATCTATGGTACTCATTTTCTTTTATAGCTAAATCATATACCTCAAAGAGTACATATACTTAAGTCTAGAAGTGTAGGGCCAAAATGAACTAAAATGACAGAAAAAGAATCTTAAATTTAATTCGTATCTCACAGGCAATATAGCTAGGGTCAAATCTGTGCCTAGGGCAAAATAAATCAAATCAAGGTGACTGGGCACAAAACTTGTGTGTATGTTGTGAGGGGTATGTGCTTAGAGTCAGGAAAAGCTGTTACGACAAGGACTAAGGGCTCAGATGTGATTGAGGGAATGAGCAAAACATAAGTTTCCAAGTATTTTCAGTATCACCAATACAAAGACAGAAGACATTCCCATCCCTCCTTTAGAGAATGACACAGGCCATACATTGCATTATTGTGACTTTTTACCCCTTGGAGACTGCCACCAAGGGTAATTTCAAACTAATTCACCCACATTAAAGCCAATAGTAACCAGGTAGTAGTAGTAGGTAGCAGTGGTAGGAACACCTCTGAAAACACCGCTCCTATAGATTATAATAATATCTTAAAAGAACTGTGCAATGCATTGCTGAAAGTTATTAATATGAAAGAAAATAGATTATAAATTAGGAAAAGCTTCACAATTAGAAAATAAGGCCAGAAAATGTTATCTTCTTAAATTAAAATGTATAAGGCTCAACATAAATTGAAATGATATTTATAAACAGAAGTAACCCATGCAGAGATTTATTTATAAATATGATATTAATCAATATATTTTTTACTTTTTACCAGATCAGGCAGATAAAGTTAATCAATATTTTGGAAACTAAGTTCCAATCTAACTGAACACAGTACAACCTCAGTGACTGCTATAAAAAAGCTGTAATCACCTCAATTATATTATATTGAGAATCAGGTGAGTGTTCTAACAAAATAGTAAAGAACAGAGTGAAGTTGGGAAAAAGTAGAACTAATGAGTAAGAATACTTTTAATAGACCTGCAATGTCCAGAAGACAGACCATTATCCCTACTAGAATTTAAGAAATGGTGGTTGTCATTTACATAGTCATCATTCAAAAGTTTGTAACCTATGTTCAAAATCTATGCAGATTTCCTGATAAATTCATGCTGGTTGCTTATTAATTGGTAACTCCATTTTAATAATTAATTGGCATTTTTGATACCTCAGTAATCTCTTGAGAAAAAAGTTTATTTTAAAATAGTAACTTTTATGAACATAAAATTGTAAGAACCAGGTCCTGGAAAAGATTACATCCACTATTTATTTAAAGTTTCCTGAGGTTTTCTTCTTCACAACTCCTAAGTCTGCCCCTCCCCAACCTTCCACCAAAATCACAAAGTTGGAAACAAATCAGTGTCATTCAAAGAATGAATGATTAAACAAACTGTGATATACCCATACCTTATGGGTTGAAATATATTCCCTAAAAAGATATTTTCAAGTTCTAACTCCTGAGATCTCAGAATGTGACCTTATTTGGAAATAGTGTTAGTACAGATGTAACTAGTTAAGATGAGGTCACACTGGAGTAGGATGGATGGTTAATCTATATGACTGTTGTCCTTATAAAAAGCGAAATTTAGATACAGAGAAGAGACACACAGGAAGAGCACCATATGAAGACGGAGGTAGAGAGTGGAGTGATGTGTCTATAAACCAAGGAATTCAAGGACTGACAGCCATCACCAGAAGCTGGGAGACAGGCATGAAACAGATTCTCCTTCAGAGTCCTTAGAAGGACTCAACACTGCCAACAACTTGTTCCAGACTTTTGGCCTCCAGGATGGTGAGCTGTTTTAAGCCACCCAGTTTGTGGCATTTTACTATGGCAGCCCTAGGAAACTAATATTCATACCATGGAATACTGCAGTACTCAACAGTAAAAGGGAATGAAAGTAGCTGGATGAATCTACAGAGAATTATGCTGAGTATAAAAAAACAATCCTAAAAGGTTACATGCAGTGTGACTCCATTTATATAATATTCTTGAAAAAATAAGACTGTAGAAATGGAGAACAGACTAATGGTTGCCAGGGGTTAAGAAGAGGGTAGGAGGACAGTAGGAAGTATGGCTATAAAAGTGCAGCATGAAGGATCCTTGCAGTGATTAAAGTATTCTGTATGTTAACTGCATCAATGTCAATATCTGGGCTATGATATCATTTTAGTACTTCAAGATGTTACCATTGGGAGAAACAATATAGGTTACATGAGATCTCTCTGTATTATATCTTATAACTACATATCAATCTATAATTATCTCAAGATTAAAAATTAATTAAAAAATATATATCACTGCTGCTACTATACATTATGCTTCCTCTGGTGAGGTGAGAGGATTTTATCATCTCATATGTCTTGGGTTCCTAAATACCCATTTTGGGGAAAGGCCATTTCTACTTTCCTTCAGGGGTTGTAAGTACCTATTGTATTGTGGCAATCACTTAGACACTCTAAGACACTACCCTAATACCAAGAATAAGGTTAAAATGTGAATTTCCTAGGTCTGAGTTTAGCGGTTTTTAATGACAATGAGACTTGCAGAGGAGCTATACCTCTAGTCCTAACTTTTTAAAGTCAACATTTCTGAACATGAAATCAATGAGCAAAATTAACTTCTTCCAATTAATCCCACTGAGCCCTTACGTATAATGACATTATAATTTCACATATACTAACATGTACAATAATTACTAAAAAAAAAGTACTGCTGTTATAACTATACAACATGCTAAACAATTATTTTACATTTATAACACCCTTGAGCAAAAAAGGTATATATTTTTTAATAAGTAGAAAATTATAGTAAATGAATAGTTACATAATACTAGATGCATAGGAAGCCATAAATAAATTTAAAACATGGAAGCAATCAGGACTTTTGCATATGCTACTCCCTATCTCTGAACACTCTTTCCTTGTACTCTTCACATGCAAGGCATCTTCTGTCCATCTCCTAGGAGACCCCTGACCATCTATCTTAAGTAGGTGTACCTCTGCTATCTTCTATCTGAACCTTTATCTCATTCTTTCATAGCAATTATCACAATTGGAATTTTTTAAAAATTTTATATTGGTCTCCTCACAAAAGTTTAAGATTCATTAGACATATGACAATATATGTCTTACCTCTCACTGTATTCACAGCAGCTAGTAGATGTGCAATCACTAACTGTTGCATGAATTCCCTATTTTTGTAGCACATTTTTTGTAATACACATAATAAAAAATTTCTGAGCCAAAGAAAATAAGAAAGATGGGTACTGAAATTTGGAGACTAGAACACTATTCTAGATGGTTTAAATCTTACCTTTACCAGAAATTAGATATGACATTTTGCAAATCTCTTAAAATTTCTGGACCTCAGATGTCATATAATTTGAAAGGCAAGAAGGTTGAATCAAATGATTTCTTGAGATTCTGCATGGCTCAAAGAGTTATGATTTTAAACATATAAATTATTTTTAAATACTAAGTGAGAATGGTATAAAACAAGTTGAAACAGTACAAAATTGAATAATCATTTACTTTTTGGAAATCAAACTAAGCATTCAATCCAACAGTAATATCACTAGTTCTTTATGCCACTGAGTCATAAATAACATATGCTTGGTATATTTTCCCATAAACTATTTTCTAATGCAGTGGTCAAGTACCATAAATCAGAAAAAGATGGATATTTTTATTTGAATAAATATGCTTAGAATTGAGTAAAAGCATGTATGTTAGACTGATACTTTGTGTTATATTAAAAACATACCATCTCAAGTGGTTGGTTTTATTTGTTTCATTCTATCTTTTTAAATAAAATTCTGCAATGATTTTGAAGCTACATTTGGTTGAAGCTACATTTCAACCAAGATCTACATATTACTTAAAGTAAACTCCAACTCTACTCTTGTTAGTGTGAACCTAATATCACGTAAAAGCTATTCTTAAAGTTTATTTTTTATTTCATATTATTCAACTATAGGAATCAAAGCTATCTAATTATTTCTCATAAAATTTATTTTTTCATTATTATTAGAAGATGTTTGAGAGACATTTATATTAAATTCAAATTTAAAGGATTTTATTTTAGTCCCTTAGTATGTTTTGACGGGATGAGTAATGTATAATTTTAATAGAAAAATAGTAAAAATTCAGTATAATTCCATTAATTTAAAAATAATTTAAGAATATGAATATTTAATATAGAACATTTCTGATATTTATGGAGAAATGTAGCTTTACTGTTTTGATTACTTTCAAGTAACACAGTATATGAAACTAACAGTGTTACAAAGTAAAGATAATTCTATGGCTATTATTCAATCTGGATAAAAATTGCTTTTAACTATATATATGTATTTAAGCATATACGTATAGATATATACACATGCACACACAAAAAGGAAATGCTCTAGAAATATTAAAGAATTAAAATGCAAACATTTTACTCTATCCTTTCAGACTATTTGTTTAACAAAATATTTTAACATATAATTCAAAGGCAAACTTCAACCCTACCAATGTCTGAATTAATGAGAATTAGCGATTACTTTAGTTATATAAATATATTTAACATTTTCCAATTATGCCCTGAAGCTAACAATAAAAACTGCATGGTAACAAAAGGTAACAGAATTTGGGTTAAACAGGACTCATCCCCTGAACAGCTTAACATACCTACCCCTTCTAACTTATTCTCCTAAGAATGCTATTCAAATCCTAAAATCCAGCAAATGCTATGATCAAAAAGACGGAAGCTATGGAGGTTAGGAAATGCATTTTCTAGCACTAACTAGCTATGTGATTTTAGGTAAGTTATCTAAACTCTCAAAGCCCTATAAATAAAATATAGGCAATCACACAGAAGGCAAGTAAGATAGTAAGCAATGAGTTCATATATATAAAATATCCAGCATAATTATCTGAGCATAATTGGCACAGAATAAGATCTCAGGAAATACTACTTTCCATATATCCACCACCCTTCAAGCCCCATTCTTCTTACGCCCATTCTCATATCCTGATAAATATAAACAGGTGGAAGAACATGGATTATACTAATTATGTAGATGAAAAGAGAGGAAAAGATTTGAGTCAAGAAAACTTGCCAAAAACTCAAAGAATGTCATAACTTCTAGATTAAGGGAGCCCTTAAAGACAACATCCTCCAACAACAGACATCCTGGTGAGAGGTCAAGATATTCTATTGTCTTTCTTTATATCCACTAAATTTTTAAATGAGTCATTTTCAATGTGTGCATTTATAAAACTATAAAAAGTAGAGCCACTGTGTCATTTGTAAATATGTGAAGAGATTCGTTCACAAATAGAGAAAAGCAAAAGCTAATTATTTTCCTTAATTTTATATGTGCAATTGTTAATAAGTTTTATTTTATCAAATAGAATCATCAGCTGACACAATACTGAAATTTTCAAGATTTATTCTAGAAATGCCCAGAAAACTCACATTTTCCTATTCTCATCTTTAAAAGGCTCATTGATTTCAATATGATATTGCAAGAGACTAAACGTGTGCCACCAAAATTCAAATGTTAAAATCCTAACACAACACTCCACCCTCCCCATGCCCCACTCCCACCCCCGCCAACCAAGGTAATGCTATTAGGAGGTAAGGGCCTTAGGGAAGTAATTAGCTTTTATGAGTGGAGCCACATAGGATGAATAGGATTAGTGCCCTTATAAAAGGGATCCCAGAGAGCTCTCTCATCCTATCCTATAAGAGGATACAAGAATAAAGCAGCCTGCAGACTGGAAGAGGGTCCTCACATGAATCCAACTATGCTGGCAACCGCATTTCAGACTTACAAACTGCAGAACTGTAAGAAATAAATTTCTGTCCTTTATAAGTCACCTAGTCTATGGTACTTTGTTACAGCAGACCAAACTGAGTAGGACAGAAATTTAATACTAAGTTATAATAAGAGCTATAGTATAAACAAGAAAAGTAGGACTCCTAATATTCTGTGTGGCATAATAGAATAGTTTGTTGCCTTCACTGAAATAAGGAATACTAAGAGTGTAACTAGGTTAGGCTGAGTTGGGTTGAGTTGTATTGAGATTTTTAATTCAGCCTTAGACATGAGGAATTTAGGGTACTTCTAAGACATCTAAAGAAGCATGTCCAGTGGGCAACTGACTACATGGCCATACAGTACACAAGAGAAGTCTGAGTGACAGTAATAAATGGGTCATCTTCAGGAGATCATCTAGGTAGAGTGTTCAGAGAGGGAAATGACATAGCCTAGGGTCATGGCTTCAGTAACTCTAAAATGGATTGGCTGGGCAGAGGAGAATGAATTTGCAAAGGAGTGGCCAGAGAGAGAGGAGTAAGATCTGAGATTTTGACTTTCAAAGGCCAAGGGAAAAGAAGGTCAGCAAAGTCACATAATACAGGGTGTCCCA